GTTTTGAGTGGTGTGGACGGACTCGAAGTATTAGTCGCTGTTGCAAGATATAATCTGCATCTTTCCTAGAAAATAGATCCGTTTTATTAAGGAACGAATTCGCAAAAAATGTCTGAAAAGTTATGAATAACATATTGTAATATAACGATAGTGAAAAATTATAGTTACTATCGCAAAATTCATCCGGATTTTATTATTCAAAAATGCCACCAGTAGATTAGCTATGAGGTTTCTAGGACATGCTAGAAGGCGTGGTCTAAAGGCTAGAGGCTCGAGTTTTGGTTAGACATGGCTTTGGTCTTGAAATTGATGATTAAATTTTAACCTTTCGAGTGTGAGTGTTCGAGACACGTGATCGTTTTTCATACTAAAACCAAGGTCAATCAATAATCGAAGCATGCCTTCGATCTATTCAATATGTGTCGAGAAGAACTCTCAATGGGGGAGACCACTGATTTTTTGAAATGACATCATCGTGAACTCTATACTGTAAAACTACCAGTGAATTTATTTTGAATTTTTTTATTGATGCTAAGTCGATGAAAAAAATAAATTAGAATATGTCCATTTCAAAACACACAATTCCTACGCCATTTGAAATTTTGTCAATTCATTGGTGTGACTGGTGCGACGTCTTAGTCCCAACACGCCTATTGTCCTTGAACTGACCAATCACATTGCAACACTGCAGAATGACGAGGTATCAGAGAGAGATAGCTACAGTTCGGGACTAATACGTCACGACTCCACCATTATATTTGGTATTTTGAAATATCGATTCGATTTCCTTCAACTTCAACTCATAATATTGATTGTACATAAAACGTAAATCATAATTCGTCGATTGAAAGAGGTTTGCACGGATTTCTTTCTTCAGTGGTCTTCCCCATTTATATATAATTCATCTCCGATTTTTTGTTTCTTTGTTTCTTTCCTATGAAGAATCCCTAAAAAATGCATTTCACTTCGTATGTTGGGTGTTTAATGAGAGTAAAACTATGGTCATCGTTGTGTTTTGTTTGTGAACCGCTGGAAATAAAATTGCTGATGACTCCCTAACAAAACCAACTTCAGGTTTAGGGGATGAAACGATAAAACACTTCCTTGATGGACTTTTGCTAACGGGGGTAGATAACGATGACTGTGTATTTATCAAGTTTTTGTGAGATATGGTCCTTCGTTCGCAGGAAGAAAAATACGCCCCAAATGAATGTGGAAAATTTCACCTATCTGGTTTCCTTTCAAAGTCATTTGGGATAGCATTCTGCGATAACAGACACTTTTTCCGAAGAAATATGACAAATTTGATATCTTCATATCTATCAAACTACTGAATTATTGCCTTAGTGAAGTTGATTGATTCAACGCATTTTTAACAGAGGATAAAAAATACGTTATGAACGCATACTCATGAACCTTCAGTCAATCTACAGGATGGAACAAATGAAGTAATTATACTGATGACAAATTGACCAGTAAACATTGATCGATAGGAGAAAAAAGAGGAGTTTGAGAAACAAAGATACAGGGTGTCCGGAAAGGTCATGTCATAAATAGTAGGGTGATAGAGTGAACCAAAATGATTTTTGTAGTAAAAAGATGGAGAGATCAAACGGGGAAAGCAAAATGCCAAAATTGTCTCCTCTGTCAAAAATGCTTTCAACGGAAAAAATTCGTCCCATACTATCTAAAACATAATCACTGAGAAGCCGTTTACTTATGAAGGAAAAGTGCATTAGTATTAGTTTATTTACCTGCCTAACTTTCAATGTCAATCACTCCGTAACGAAGCGCGATAGACATATTTTTTTATATGACGTACTAACATTATTTTGGCTCACTCTGTGAACCCTATCATTTACGACATGACTTTTTTCAGACACCCTGTGTATTTATGAATATTCAAAATTTACAAATTTACATTGAATGAAGCAGAAAAACATTGCAGTCGGATTCAGCACAGCTATCTCGTACATCTTTTGATTTTTTCATAATCCAAACGCGACATTCCAGCGAATTTAATAAATCAAAAAAACCCGCCATCATAAATAATGCAAAGCGGCAGTCCCTTGTGAACGATTTATGAAAAGCAAACACCATCGACTCGTTTCAGCTGTTTTTCTATCTCGGTGACCACGGATCGGCTTAACCCCGATATTTTCTTTGTGGGCATAAAAAAATTGGCTACATCGATCCGAAATGAAACATTCATAGTTTTTTCTGTAAACTGATGAAAATATCCATGGAAAAGATGATCCAGTCAGTCACTCTGAACCGAGTGATAGCGTGTCAAAGACCTGAAACTATCTGGTATTATTCTTGAAACGGAATTTCTCGTAATTTTCGGAGGATCTATCCTAGCAGTAACTATGCAAATTTCATCCTCGTTCTTTCCATTCTGAAGGAAAAAACGTCCGATAACTACGGAGTATCTCTTTCCAGTATTCTTTTTCTTCCTATAGCTTTCGGCGAGTCTTCATATACGTACGGCACGAGATAATCAATAAACAGAGTCTGAAATGAACTGAAACTTTTATGTTCGCAGTCTGTCGCCGGTTTCGTATCCAATCTCATCTCCAGGCTCTCATAATACCTAATACATACAGGGGGTTCTCAGCAGATCGAAGACATAACGATTCATGCGTCAAGGTCATTAATTTATTGTTCCGTCGGACCGAAGACTGAACGATTATTTCTATGTTGAGCGGTTCAACTGATTGAAAGAACAGCCGTTGAGCATATTGTCTAGACCTAGACAGCAAGCCAAGGTTCAGACAGTTATTTCAAAAAATAATCGTACATTCAGTTCGATTGAATACGTGTATGTTCACCAAAGTTCAATATTGTTCGCCTGCAAACATGGGGATGGCAAGCCTATCGTTCTTTCGACTTTTTAGTTCGTTCTCAGCATTCAGAGGGAATTTCTATTTGATTACGGCACGCTCGAGATTCTTCACGAGTGTTTGCGAATAAATATTAAACGTCAAATCCGTTGGTAGAGTGCTGATCCCGAGTGAGTTAATCAAAAGCTGAGAGTTGAGGACATGAGGATGTGGATAGGGATGCGAGCAGAGAGGAGTTGGATTTAGATGAAGAGCAGACATCAATGGGAACGTTTAATGTGGAGAGATTTCATATGTTTTAGTTTGAAAATTCATATTGAGGTCAAAGTTTCATGTGGTATGTCGCTAGGCACTGCACAATATCTCATGAATCTGTATTTCGATGTCATAAATACAGCCCATACTATTTTGTGTGTTATCTCGAATTTGAAAATCATCATTCAATGATATAGTGAACCTAATCTATGTTCATGAAAAATAGTCTAAGCAGCACAAATCACTTTTGTGATCTCATTTCTGACGTTTTACTCTGAATTCGGCAACGAATTTATGTAGAATGCAAAATATGGCAATACCAAAGGAACATCTATTTTCAATTACATCATTTTCGCCAAAGATTTTCACTCAATAAATGTCGTCTTCCGCATCGATTCCGAATCGGACGTGAAATTTTATAACTTCAATAACTTATTATTATTGTTAATATCGATAGAGAATTGAATTTTCTATCATAATATATACTTGTGTATCCTATTATGATAAACAATCAAATCGCCGGTTATTAGAATAAGCCAATCAGCTCAGGCTGTCGGTGATTGAGCGGTGGGCGGAGCTTAAGAGAATATCTTCTGATTGCATAAGAGAAGGCCACTGTAATATAGAAAATCTAAGGGGAGAGTTTCTCTTCTAAATCTGACATCGAATTCTTTTTTTGATGTATTCAAAAAGTAATTATCGTCGTAGTGTGCAATTATTTTGAAGTTCACTTTATATTTTTATAGAGGAAAAAATCTCATTTTCATTACTTGCAGTTCTGATAATTTCAAGTTGATGCCTTCAAGGCGTAGATTGAAATATTTTAGTTCCTACTATTCGTTAATTTCTTAGAAAACGTATACTGTTGAGTAGAACTCAATCAAAGTAATGTAATTTAAGTAATATAACGTTATTGAAAATGACAGAAGACTATTGTGAAGACTGAGATAGTTTACTTTCCAGTATTACGTGGGAATTGTTATCAATCCTCCTGTATTACAATATCTATAGTTTTACTAATTGTTACTCAAGTGATCATGAGGACTGAAAAGATGTGCCATTTTTAGATTTTGAAATACTTGTTCCAAATATTAATAAACTTCATACATTATTTATGAAGTTGTGTATTTTATCAGTACTGTGTTCCCTCGTCAGTCCCCTGGCAATCGGGTCCGGAAAAATCAAAATATCTCGGTCACGAGTGATATATTCATTGTATTAGCTCTCTTAAATACACGAATAGCCATAGCTATTCGTTTGTTTCAGCTGAACGAAGGCTGAATGAGTTCATCGGTCACTACCAGTAGCTATTGGGGCATGTTTGACCGACCGAGGTGGGTGGAGCCTAAGGCGGGGTTTAGAAGTGGGGTGTAGTCTAGCAGAGGGGTGGCGAAGTCATAGAGGGGAGAGTGGGGCGGTGAATCGACTGGATTGGAATTGGGCTGGGCCAATGTTCTCATTGGCTGTAGGGATGATATTGTTTGATGGCTTGACGTGGGGGTGTACCTTCAAAAGTGATTGATGATGTATGACATCCAGTTGGGGTGGTGCTTAGACTGATTGGACGTGTGTGGGGCCAATGTTCTCATTCGCTGTTGGGATGATATTGTCTTATGGATTGACGTGGGGGTGTGCCTTCCAGGACGTTAGAATAGGTGTCACCTTGGATGTGAAACTAGAGTTTTGAGCGTGTACTAAGTTGACTTCGTTGGCTCGTGGGTATGGTCTACTGAATGTACAATCGTGATTGTATGGGGATTTCGTGAAGTGATTGATGCTGGAGTGGGTGGAGCGGAACTCTATAAGATATTATAGGCGATACTCCATCGATTCAAATAACGATAAATGCAAAAAATCTTGAAAACGAAGTACGTGGGTCGATTTCATCAGTGCTTAATGTACTTTTTGTTTGTTTCAGCCGACCGGAGATTGAACGAGTACATCGAGCACTACGAGCCGCTCGAGTACGACCCGTCGGAGGTGGGTAAAGCGCATGCGCGCGCCAAACGTTCGCTCGACCGGCCGGTGCGCGTGGCGTTCCGCGCGCACGGCGCCGAGTTCCGGTTGAGGCTGAAGAGGGACCTCGAGGTGTTCGGGGAGGGGTTGGAGGTGGTGGGGCCGCAAGGCAGGGAGGAGGAGGTGGATACGTCGCACATCTACCGAGGGCATTTAGAGGGTGAGTTCGATGTTGGTGTACTTGGTGATTTTTTATTTTTGATAATAGAAAAAATAGCCCTACAGGAGATTTTTTCCTTCTCGAATCAACAGATAGATTTTCACTATCTTTTATAACCGCTACTACACTCAGATGCAAATAAAACGCAACAAGTTAATATTCGGTCGAATTTAAAGTCTCATAACTTTTTAATTTTCAATTCGATTTTCATAATTTTCCCAACAAACTGTAGATAAAATAAATAATTTCCACTTGTAAATCGAGTTTTTGGGTAGATGCTGGCAAATAAGTCATTATACAGGGTTAATTGAAAGGTTTGTTGTATAACCCTAATTTCAAAACACCCTGCGGAATAATTTCGTGATCAAATTCATTGTCACTACCATTTTTTGTTAGGAACCATTATTTTTCTACATTTTGACTTTTGAGTCATGTCTTAATGAGCACTGGTTCATTTTTGAGAGCGAAATGAACTGGAACTTGAAAAAAAAGGAAATTTATTCATGCAAACTTCAATTCCACTTCAAAATTGAATTTCAACTGTAACAATCATCCTAAAAAACGTACTTTCTACAAGAAATTAGCTCAATATTTTGTTTCACCACCTCTAGCTCTTATAACTGCCTGCATACGTCGCTTCATACTGTCAATAAGGTTATGAATAGCATCCTGAGGAATATTGTGCCATTCCTCCTGAAGGGCAATACGTAGTTCATTTACTGTTCATTTTTTAAATGTCAATTTCCGCGAGGTATTGTGTAACACGCTGTATGTGGCCTTGCATTATCCTGCATTAGGATAAAGCCATCGCCGATATATCCTCTAAAAGGTACAACGTGATTGTTTAATAGGGTCCATCGATGACCACCAACTCAGTGCAGACCTCCTGGGTTTTTCCTGCCCACACCATTACTGAACCTCCTCCATAGCTCAGACGGGGACTGAACGTACACTCTTCAAATCTTTCTTCGGTCCTTCTCCATACTCTTTTCCGTCCATCTGGAGAATATGAGCAGAATCTGGATTCATCAGTAAAAATAACATTGTTCCATTGTTCTACGTTCAAAACCAAATGTTCAGTGGCAAATTGCAGTCTTGCTATTCGGTGACGCGGAAGCAATTTGGGTCCAGTTGCTGGTCTGCAAACTTTCAAACCAAACCCCTTCAATCTTCGGCGAACTGTCCATACACTTACATTTGTACCTCAAACCTCTTGAAGTTGACTGCACTGATGTTAAGTGACGATCCCGCAGAGTTTTAACGTGAAGAAATCTGTCATTAGTAGCAGTAGTTTTTCGTTTTCTGCCACAACAAACGTTCGACTGCCCTTGTTTCCCCAGTTTCGTTTTGAATATTCTTCTTCTTCTTCTTCGAAGCACTGGTGGGCGGGTGAACCCCCTGCACGTGGGCCTCCTTATTCGGGCCCATTGTGCGCCCACATGTTACAACATTCAGCTGGGTATGCCGACTGCCTTGGAGAAGTTCAGCAGCTTCCTCAGCTGAATCTCTTTTACGTCCTCTGGCCTCAAGATTATGTTGCCAAGGACAGCCTTCCTCTGATGCGTCAGTGCTGGACACTCAGTGAGGACATGTGATGACGTTTCGTCATCTTCCAGGCACCATCTGCAAAGGGGGTCATCCTTGATCCCAATAAGCTCTAGGTGCCTATTGAGGTGGTTGTGCCCCGTTAGGAGCCCCACTACCATTTTAAGGTTTCGCCTGTTTAGGAATAAAACCTCTTTTGCGAGCCTCTTCGAAGGTTCCTTTATGTGGAGCTTCGATTGTCTCATTCCTGGTGTGTCCTGCCATATTTTGAGGAATTGCTTTTGTAGCTGTTCCTCTATAGAGGACATTGCCAGGCTATTTGGTATTCCCAAGATTGGTTCCGGTCCGACCGAGGTCCGTCCTGAACCGAATATTAAAAAAATTTCTGTAAACGAAACATTCGAAAATAAGAATTTGTGATAGATCATCTCAAGAATAAGTATCCAGAGATGTAAGAATAGTTTTTTTTTTCGGAGAGCGTCTATTCCTCGATGCCTAAACGACGTGCATGTCGTCTAACAAACTCCGTTTGGAGTGTTTGCACAATTTGTCGTCGAAATCAATCGATTCGCGCCGGTTGTGTTCCATTGAACTCTACTCGGAAAGTCGAGATTTCAGTGTGTTTTATAGATTGAAAGGTACAGGGACGGACTGAAGGACCATTTCGTTTTTGAATCAGAAGCGTTGACAATCATAGAATATACAATGTGACCCACTTCTAATGGAAACACCCCTGTATCTTACGTTATCGTTGGGTAAAGGCCACGACGAATATTGAATTACATCTATTGAACACACACGATGAGAATTTGATGAAAAGTTTATTACCTGTCAACAAATATGAAATTTCAAACTCTTTTCCCTTTAGAGAAAAAAATGAATTAAATATTAGCATTTACAGATTTTGTTGGACGAATTCAATTTTAATCCTTCGATGATGGCTGATGCTCCATTAGACTCGAAACGTCGTTAATTAAAATTAGAGTTAGCCCGTTGACGCGTATCGCGAATCGGCCTCCAATTCTAATCGTAACTAATTACCTTTTCATGGAGGAAAAACAAACTGGGCCGCAGCATCGATAGCGCCTCGAAAGCGTGGAAGTTTTCGGAAACTCATCAGCAGAGCTGGAACTTCTTTTTACGCTCCGTCCGGAACATTAGAGCGCCGTTTGGATGTTGTGCTTTCGATCGCAAAGTTTTGCCGGTTTTTCGGTGTGATAGATGGCTCTGCTCGCCAGGCTTGTGTGTGCTCAATCATGTTCTGACAAAAATCGCTTTCATTTATTTGATTTTGATTATTCTCGATAATACTGATGCTGACTTGTACAAAACTGAAAGTTTTTTTATCAAGCAATTATCCAAATCAATGTACTAGCTCAAAAACACTAATGAACAAAATTCAATTGATTATAATACAGTGGTACTGCTTCATAATTAAGGATGTTGTTCAAGATTATTAACAGAGGTCTGTGTACTTTGTAAGTGATATATTGACCACTTGTCTGCCCTGTCTCTTCTGTCATGTCTTTCATGTCGTGTCTCCTCTATACTGTATCTTCTTGTCTCTTCTGCTATCTTTCTCTTCTGTTCTCTCTCTTCTGTTCTGTCTCCTTTCTCGTCTTCTTTGTTTTGTCTCATCCGCCCTGTATCCTTTGTTTTTGTATCCTTTGTTCTGTCTCTTCTGTTCTCTATCTTATGTTATCTCGCTTCTGTCCTGTCTTTTCTGCCTGCCTTTTCTGTTAAGTTCCCTGACCTGTCTCTTCTGCCCTGTCTTTTGTGTTATGTTTCTTCTTTCCTGTCTCTTCTGTCATGTATTTCATTCCCTGTCTCCTCTATACTGTATCTTCTTGTTTCTTGTCTCTCCTGCTATCTTTCTCTTCTGTTCTCTCTCTTCTGTTCTGTCTCCTGTCTCGTCTTCTTTGTTTTGTCTCTTCTGCCCTGTCTCCTTTGTTTTTTATTTTCTGGTCTGTCTCTTCTGTTCTCTCTCGCTACTGTCCAGTCTTTTCTGCCTGTCTCTTCTGCCCTGTCTCTTGTGTCATGTATTTCATGCCCTGTCTCCTCTATTTTGTAGCTTCTTGTCTCTTCTGCTATCTTTCTCTTCTGTTCTGTCTCCTGTCCCGTCTCCTTTGTGTTGTCTCCTCTGCCCTGTCTCCTTTGTTTGCATCTTCTGTCCTGTCTCTTCTGTTCTCTATCTTCTGCTCTCTCGCTTCTGTCCTGTCTTTTCTGCCTGCTTCTTCTGTTCTGTCTCCTGACCTGTCTCTTCTGCCCTATCTATGATATTGATATTATTTGGAGCCGGAATATATAAATATAACCCCAATCATCTATAATCTGTCAATTCTCTCATGCGAGGTCCCACCATCGTTACCATAATGGAACAAATGAATCGCAACCAGGATAAACAGAAGATGGTGTACAATCTTCTATCAAATCCCATCTATTGTTTTTCGGTCAAAGTTCTGGACCTACGGCCTACTTGACAGTTGCTTGGCAGAAGGATTCTTTTCAATATCGCGGAATATAGGTCGCATTTTACCCGTTAGATGGCGAAATCTCAACCAAAATTCAAGGTTGGTAGAATTGATTTGAGGTTATGCTATGAATGTTATGATATTATTTCTGGTGCAAGCCGTGTGTAAGCGCCGTTTCCTGTTTTCTGTCATGAAAGAAATCTGTAAGAAGAAGAAGAAGAACAGAGAACTAATATGCCTTCATTGCGGAATGTGCGGTCAAGCGTTTCGGAAAACGAAACACTGTCTGTGATTACACCATATTCTATTCACATTGTCAGATTGGAACAAATAAATCGCAACTAATGAGTTTTGTTCTGTTATTTTTTCTAGGCGAGCCGGACAGTGTTGTTTTCGGCTCGATAATAGACGGGGTGTTCGAAGGTAAAATCGTGTCGCCCGATAAAGGTGCCTACTATGTGGAAAAGGCACACCACTATTTCCCTTTGGCGATGCATCCGAATCGGTCCTTCCACAGCGTCATCTACCGGGAGGATAGGGTCATCGATCCCTACGAGCACATGAGGGAGGGTGAGTAAAAACAATCTGACGAAATTTTTTTTGACAAAGCAAGATCATAAACTTCATCAAAGATTCGTTCACTATTTTAGTTGTCATGGTTTCAAATGTTAGGTTCTATTTAGTCGAAACAGGATCCTGAATATTATTCCATTCTGAGCGATGCCCTACTAACTTCGACTAATTTTTCGAAGGCAATTTTCCTCGTTTTTCCATGTAACAAAATTCTCATCAAAATGTCTACTTCGACAAAAAAAACTCTCGTGTAATTGAAAGTGATAAAAGGCAAAACATTTGAAAGCATGACAACCAAAATTGTAAACAACTCTTTGATGACGTTTATGTCAGTTCTTGTCAAATTTGCGCTATCAGAAAATTGTCTAATCTGTGGAAAAATTGAAAAAAAACACAATTATAATGATATGATTCACGTATTCATTAAATTGTCTTAGCAAAATACACTCTAGCATTTTTTTTGGTCCATTAAAACTTGACATTTATAGTTAGAGTTCTCTTGCTGAAACAACTGTCAGAAAAAATACGCTTCCTACGAACTTTTTTTTCATTCAAACAACAAAATAATTCTTAATGAAATGTCAAGTGAAAAACACGGGCATACTTATTTTTGAGGTTGTCGATTTTTTGAATTGACATCTTTTCAAGGACATTCGGCCGGATGCGGCATAAACGATGACGTCATCCGATGGATGGACCGCATCCAGTCCTCGGCAGTGGAGGACCCTCCCCCTTCCCCTCCTCCTCCAGCAAATCCGCCTCCCATCCCCTACAACAACAAGGCCAAGCACAAAAAGTACGAGGGGGAATTCGAGGGTGGCCAGAAGAAGCCTAAAAAGCACGAGGGAGTGTTCGAGGGCGGCCACGTCAAATATTCGAGGGAGGCCAACGAGGGGAGGACAAGAGAGCGGAGGGGGGCCAGATCGGGGGAGACGAAGAATAGTACGTGTTCGCTGTCCATACAGACGGATCCGCTCATTTGGAGGCATATCAGGGAGGGGTTTCCTGAAGTAAGTACATTTGTTTTTGGTACACAAGTTACACAACACCTATAAGACATTAACGATCCTCCTTTTGAAAAGAATGAATTCATTGAATTGAATGTTTAATGAATTCCAAATAACTTGATTACTCGTGTATTCCTTTCGTTTCCTCCAGATCTTCTTTCTTTTGTGTACATTCCCTTCACTCCTTCAACTTTCTGCTATTCTTCCTTCTGCTACTATTTCTTCTGCTAGACACTATTTTATTTATTCACTTACTGTATCCGTTTTATGATGATTTTCCAAAATATTATTTATGACTTTCTATTTTCCTTTCACTTTTCAAAAAAAAAACGCTATTTACTATCCTGTTTATTCTTCCATACTCTTGATCCATTGACTACTTTACATTTCCATTTCACAAGAATCACTGTTCATTTTCCATTACTATACAAAATATTATATTTTTTCAATAACACTAAGGGTCAGTCCACATTAATGGCATCGTATGCCTTAGCTGAAGAGTTAAGTTCATTGTTAAGTTAACAGAGAGGTTTATGCAACAGGCCCTTACAGTAATTGAAACGATTTCAAGTCAAATACTCTTAGGAAAAATGAAATTCACACCCTTGCTGCCAGGTATAAAATAACACAGAATATTTAATCATCTACCACATGATATCAAATCATCCTGTGATATTAAACAATTCGAATTTGGTTTGAAATCGTTACTGTTAGAACATTGTTTTTACTCCATTGATGAATTTATTCAGTCAAACCTGTCCGGCATACTGGATAACTTTTATTTCACTGTTTCCATATGACTTATTACTTTGTAATGTATTCTTCCAGACTGACTATTCCTATACAAAATGAACTTTTGTCGTTCAAAGGAAAAAAAAAATGAAAAAAAAAATGCAATCAAGTATGCTGGCGAAATTTGTACCTAACCATTAGCTGCAAATCATCGTTGCTCCTCCTCCTCCTCCGATTTCGTCATTTTCTCTCTAGGCACTATCTAGTAGTTTGATACCATTAAATCATTGGTGGTTACTTACACTTATGAGCATTGAAAGCTTTGTGATATTGACGAAGTTCTTTTGCAGCACCTCGATCCCAACAAGGAGAAGGAAGTGAACGAAAAGACCAAGGAGGAGATCCTGTCTCTCATCTCGCATCATGTCACTGCCGTTAATTATATTTACCGTGATACCAAGTTCGATGGAAGAAACGAACACCGTAATATTAAGTTTGAAGTGCAGAGAATCAAGGTAAGGAAACATCTAGTTGTTCATTTTCATGAGGGTTTTTATATTGTTGAAATCATCATCTTTTTGAAAAATAAAAAAGTTGCAAATTTTCTCCGCCAAATTACAAAAACCATCTAGACTAACGTAAAATGTCACGAAGATTCCGAATCTATACGTATATTTTTGTTCTTGATCCAAAGGATAACAAATTTGCATTTTTCGCGGCGGAATTGAAACATTGCTATCTCTCCCCGTTGGTACTCCAAAAAGTAGTTCATCTTTTCGCTCATAGATATCGCCCGCTACTGAATGGAATTTCTGGGTTCATTGCTCTCATAAGGATGGATCATCTTGTCAGTTTGATTATTAAAGGGTAAAATGCGTGGCAACCTGAATGTAAAGCAACATTCAATGTACTTACTATTGCTCTAAGTTGTTTTTTCATGTTGAACCTTGTTCAAGATTGATTTTCAACCGTTTTCGAGCGTGACGTAGTATAATCTCATTCAAGAAAACAGACCATTTTGAAATAAAAGCATTCAAAACCAATAATGCTTATACATAACCTGAAATCTAGAAACCAACGAATACCTGTGAGAACTGTGAAAAAAGAAACAATTTTAATGGAATCAAGTGGAATTTTTTATTGATCTTCGCAAAATCGATCTTCAACTCCGCCAAAACAAAACAAAAAAACTTTCATAACTTCGACGTTTCCCAACTCCTCTAATCGTTTTTGTGGTTCGAACCGTTCATTTGGAAGCTTTAGCACCGGAATGAACCGTATTACTTGGTGACGTCATAACTTACACAAGAAAATGCTTGATTTGAAATAGATTTGAATACTGTCCAACAAGAAAAAACTCCAATATCCGTAAGAGGCAGTAAACTTCGACTTCATAACTTACACAATAAAAGCCTTGATGTAAAATCGTTTTAAACACTGTTCAACAAGAAAAAAACTATAATATCCGTAAGAGGCAGTAAACTTCGACGTTTCTCCACTCCTCTACTTACTTTCGTGGTTCGAACCGTTTGTTTAGAAGTTTTTGAACCGGAATGAACCGTTTTCCTTGGTGACGACATAACTTACTCAAAAAAATGCTTGATGTCAAATCGTTTCGAACACTGTTCTACAAGAAAAAACTCTGATATCCGTAAGAGGCAGTATCGCTTATTTTGAATCGACTTTTGCTCGTAGATCGACGACGACTCGTCGTGCCGATGCCATCATCGCGGTTGCGGCGAGCCGAACCAGTTCTGTCTCGAGAACATCGACGTCAGCAACTTCCTCAACATCCACTCGCTGGGCAACCACTCCGACTTCTGTCTCGCCTACGTCTTCACCTACAGGTAGAGTTCATTGGGACGATTGAAATTTTTTTTCTTTTTTTTTTTTTCAATGACTCGGCCGTTACTTGATGAAAATCCATGGCAAATGTAAAAACTTCACAAACGATAAGATTTCTACAAAATTCTCAAACACACGACATGTTTTGCTAACACAGTAGCTTTGTCAGACTAACCTTAGCTTGCTTAACAGTTCTATTATCTACCATTGTACAACCAATCCTATTTGTGTTTCATGTAACATGTATAAATGGTAAATAATAAATGTGTTATTATACGACGCTATACATAGTGGAGTATACTACGGCCTTGCCAAAAATGCTATCTCGGAAACTAAGCGAGATAGAGGTATAGTTACTTTAGAGAAAATGATCCCCATCGAATTTTGAGCAACTTTGGTTTTTGTGTGTGGTCTGTCTGTCTGTCTGTCTGTCTGTACTCTGTGTTAATCATAAATCGATATATCTCCGGAACCCTTTGATATATCGACTTGAAATTTTGCCATCTTATTGTACTCAAAACAATATTATGTCATTAAAATATGAAGGAAATCGGAAAACTCTAAGGTGGTTTTTCCGGGTTTTTTCGATTTTTCACCGGAAGTTTCTTGTAACCACTCTACAAATCGCAAAAGTGGTCCTATCGATTTAATTTTTTGTGAAAAATAACTCTATCAGGGAGAGACGAAGCCTATTGTTGAAATTGAGCAGGGTCGGAAAATTCCAAGTGGGTTTTTCAAGGAGATTTTCAGAAACACACGGTTCGCTTTGAAACGACATATCTCCTGAACCACTAGACTAAATCCAAATTTGAAAAATGCACCGTATGCTTCTTTGATGACGCAACAAATTATTATTTAACCATTTTTTCGTGCATCCATCGGAAAATGGAAAAACAAATGAAAATCAAAACATCAAAATTTGAAATCTTTTCAATTCAATATATATCGAAAACAAATGGAAAAATCGAAAATTATCAGGAGTGCAAAGTTATCCACTGGAACATTTCCTACAAATTATTTCCAATATTTTTTTCTGTGAACCCAATAGTACAGGAAATAAAGTGAAAAATATGAAAAAAAAAATTTAACGACCCATAGGGTACTATGAAGATATATTGAAAAACAAAGATTATCGATAGATGAAGCTCATCGACTTCCACTGAACCATGAAATATTTCTTCATTTTGTTGATTGGAAGATGGAACAAAAGTGTTGAAAATTTTATTCTCAGATAATTCCAAATATCTCGAAAACAACTGAAAATATCTGAAAATGTTATAGAACTAAAATTATTCCTTTTGATAGAATCTACAAAAAATATAACATTTATATATATATATATATAACATATAACATTTTTCTCTGATTTCAATAGTTCGGGAGATACGATGAAAAAACTAAAAAATTTACAAGTTCCTAGATAATCACTTGCCAATAGAAAACGAAACAAAAAACAAAGGAAAGTAAAAAAAGCACACTCGACTGTCTTGATTTTTTTCCCATAAACTATTTACCTAGCTCACTCGACTGTCTTCATTTTTCGCCAATAAACTAGGTACCTAGCACACTCGACTGTCTAAATTTTTTGCCCATAAACTACGTAAGAAATATGTTGGCAAAGTTTTAACTTTCTTTCGTTTTTGTCTTTTCAGTCCCTATTGGCAGTCGATTTGGCTAGGTACGTAGTTTGTGTGGAAAAACCAAGACAGTCGAGTGGGCTAAGTACGTAGTTTGTGGGAAAAATCTCCAGTTCTCTGAACTTTCATAGCGTCGTATACACATCTTTGGTGCCCAATGATAGTTTCAATATAAAAATATGCTCATGATATGGTGCCATGGCCTCTACTTCCATCTTACATGAGCAATGATAAAATATCATCTGCTTTTATAGCATCGTATGAATTATCTGACCCCTATACTAATCTAATACCTAATGAAAACTACATCTATACTAATCTGATACCTTTCGAAAACTACGTACCTCACTTGTTATTATTATTATTATATATGTCATGTAAATTTCGATTGAAATTTCGTACAGGGACTTCACGGGCGGTACCCTGGGCCTGGCGTGGGTGGCCAGCGCCTCGGGCGCCTCTGGCGGCATCTGCGAGCGACACAAGACGTACACGGAGACCATCGGCGGGATGTACCAGTCGACGCAGCGGTCGCTCAACACGGGCATCATCACGTTCGTGAACTATAACAGTCGGGTGCCGCCCAAGGTGTCGCAACTCACGTTGGCTCACGAGATAGGGCATAATTTTGGATCGCCGGTGAGTTTGCGCTTTTTGAACTTTTGATCATCCTTCTGCTATATTTTTCCTCAATTCCATGTTTAAACAGGGTGCCCGTTTTTCGAGCTCCACTGTTACCACCGATACAACAAGGCCTGCATGCTCCGTGGGTGACGTCACTTAGTCAGGCCTAACCAGCGGCTCGAAACGACAAGCGCTTATAGCGCTATAAGGCGACCGCGTATTTCGATTTTAGTTTTAGATCATCATTGAGCCGATTTTGCTGTTTTTTGAACGAAGTATCAAAGCAAAAACCAGGATAAAACACAAATATCCACCTACAGCAACCCATTCGAGTTAAATATATTGGCGAAAATTGTGGTGAAGGTAAACTTCACACCTACTTATACAGGGCCCGCAGAACATAAACTTATCGTGAGATTGATCGAAAGAAAATTGTGGAAAATGTATTTTATTTTGATTTACATGCCGTTTGTTACAATTACCTATATTTATCTTGGAGAATTCCTATTACCTGAAAAAATGAGTGAGTGTTTTCAATTTTCTGTTGTTGGATTTTTCACCCAAGTGGATCGTTACACTTGAAACCGTAATTTTTAACGGTGAAACTGCATTTATCATGCGCGATGGTTTTTTTTTTGAAATTTTTTTCCGGTACTCACGTATTTTTGTCTGATAAACCGAATTTCATAATGGAAATGTGAACAAACCACTATTTATTGAGATATTTCAAGAAAAAGTTCGAAATTTCGCCTTCTTTCTCCCCTTGTGTTGGGGCATTTGAAGCTACTTGCTCTTATTTTGTCATTGGACACTTTATATACTCATGATGTACTTCGATGGCACATTTTTATATAGAAAATTCGACAGGAAATATGATTTTTATGGCGAGTTTTTCATATTTAGTGAACAAGCATTCCAGATGACGACCATTTAATCAATAGTCAATCAAAATAAGAGATGTCAAATGTCAATAGATTGCTTTCGAATGACATTACACACGCCATTATTTTGAATGATATTCTTCCTTCTTTTCACTAAATATGGATTAATCTCAAGAAAATCATATTTATAGTTGAATTATATATAAATTGTCCAATATGATGGAAAAAGAAGGGAAGTTTGTTCTAAATGCCATCCAGAAGACAGGTGAAAAAGAAGGTGAAATTTGGAACTTTTCAGTCAAATATCTTCATGATAAATATCATGATAAATGCAGTTTTCCCTTTTTTGAGTAGAGTGTTTGTAGTTCATGTTAATATGATAGTTGCAATTTGATCATTGGAATGAATTCTGCATTCATTGCCACGAGGCAAATGACCGTTTTCAGAAAGAAATTTGAGAATGAGAATTAAAAATGCCCGTTTATTATGAACATTCAAGAAAATTTCCTCGAATTCAGAGATGATTTTGTTGACTATAATATACGAATACAAAACTAACTGCACAATCAAAGCTTTTCTATTTTTCCTCTACTCATACTTTTTATGAGAGAGTAATTGTCTTCTATTATTAATTCATCATTATAAATTAAGCTCTGTTTACTACTGAACTTAGATACTTAGATGGAGTAAAATCCTCGCGGTGAATTGCATATACTTACCCACATTTTCGATAGCTCCTCGTCCAACGGGAAACTAAAAGCATGAACTTTTGAACCACCCACATAATTCCCCCGACAAAAGGCAACACAACACTTGAAAGGCATTGTTATTTCGCCGATCACAACACAAAATATTTCACAAAACAGTAATTTTTCCGCCAATTATTTTGATGAATAAACAACAAAAGAATTCGGGACCGTTTCAAAAACATACGTGAATCACCGATGAATTAACACGAACTGACGCGTTAGTCGACAAGCGATAAAATAAAACACTGGCCTCACTTGGCGACGTCACGAGCTGTTTACGTCAGAGTCTGCTGGCCTTGTTGTATCGGTGGTAACGGCTCCACCATGGGGATCTCAGTTATTATAAGAGAAACGGGGTCGGTTAAATTAGGGGAAAGATGCGCATTTTCATGCTGAACTGCAAAAAAATTCAATGTGTCATTTTCAGTTTTTAAATTATTTGAAGACAAGGAAAATTTGTAATGTTCGTTTTCATTTTTTCCAGCGGTAACCAAAAGACCTAGACGTTTCTGACTAGGATATAATTGAGGCACTTTTTCACAAGGAACCTGAATCTGTCATTTCCATTATGTTCTTGATACCAAAGTTACAATTCTCAACTTTGTTTAATTCTTATCGGCGCCATATTGGATTTTTGCATTTTTTGAAAAGTCTTTTTTTTTTTTATTACAATGATGTATCACACGATATGATCGAATCTTTCTTGTTGATCAAAATTTGGAAAAAAACATGTTTGCGAAGAGTGCTTTGGAAGGAACGCCAACAGTTTTGTTTTGTTTAGCACGACTATCCGCCTGAATGTAGGCCGGGCGGGCCGAACGGCAATTACATCATGTTCGCTTCCGCCACCAGCGGAGACCGGCCGAACAACAGCAGATTCAGCGCGTGCAGCGTGGGCAATATCAGCACGGTGCTCGACGCGCTCGAGTCGTCGAAGAAGAGGAACTGCTTCACCGCCTCGGAGGGCGCTTTTTGCGGTATGTTGAGCACACACAAATTCGAATATTTAAAGTAGTTATGTAGTTATGAATCTAAAGAAGGTCCAGAAGAAGAGCCATGATATAATTTTGTATAATCTTATAACTGGTATTATTACCCTTCACATACACAGTTGGTGATGTCATAAATATTACAAAATTTTGTCATACAATTGAGAAATTAACCAAGAACCTTCAATGTCAGATTAATATATCAAAAATATATAATATTAGCTGACCCGGAAAACGTTGTTTCTCGCGAATATTTCTTCAGTTGAATATTTATCAACACACTTTTATTATTTAATTCACAACTTCTACTCCTTTTTTCGTTTGGCTACCCGTAACAGCGTGTTTCAATAGTTTTTCAAAATAGTATTTATTTTCAACTTCTTACTAGTTTGGCTATCTGTAAAAGCGTGTTCCATTAGTTTTTAAAACTACTATTGATCGTAAAGCTAGTTCGCCATCTTGAATTTCCCAATTTTGACGTAAAAATCATAATCTTCAACCCCGAAAACCCCCAGATATCAATTTTGAATGGAATCGGATCATAATTACAAATCTTGTCCGCAATATTGTATCCGCCATCTTGATTTTCCTAATTTTGACGAAGGAATCATGTACTCCGACCCCGAAAACCCCGCCGATACCAATTTTAAATAGAATCTCCGATCTTTTTTCATATAAGATCCACCATTTCAAATTTCCAAATTTAGACGAATAAACCATAATTTCCTACCCCGAAAACCACCAGATATCAAATTTGAATAGAATCGGATGATAATTACGAAACTTCCGCCATATTTGATCCGCCAACTCAAAATTCCAATTCAAAAAATAGCTCACGACCGATTCTCAGACCTATCAAATATGCACACAAATTTTCATAACAATCGGTCAAGCCTTTTCGGAGGAGTTTGCCAACAGACACCGTGACACGAGAATTGTATATATTGCATATTATAGTTTCGATATCAAACTACTACACCAGCTGTATCAAGTGGGAACCAGCCATATATTTCTGTAGGCAAAATCCCTACATGATCCGGCTCGAAGGACCATGTATGATTCATTTTACTCTCAACAGGCAATAAGATCGTGGAGGCGGGCGAGGAGTGCGATTGCGGCTACGACGAGGTCGAGTGCAGGGACAGGTGCTGCTATCCGAGGGTGATCAGCAAGGAGGAGAAGAGGAGGAACGAGAGCGCCAAGGGGTGCACCAGGCGGTACGGGACGGATTGCAGGTGAGTGTAGCCGGCTGATTGGTTGAACTTTGTCACTCTTTACTTGGCTAGGTAGAGGGTGAATTACTGTTGGAGACAGAAACACAACACAAAAAAAAAGTTGAATACAGACGCTGCATTACTGTTGACGAGCGAAACACGATTCGAAGAGAAGAAGGAGAATGTGGATGCTGAACTATTACTGTTCAACACATTTACAAAGAACTGCAGTCCAGTCCTCGGAGCCTAGAGTATCTAAACAATTTGCTTTTGCTGATTACGTCGATTTTATCAAGTCATGAACGATATGACTGACTACACTTTTGTATTGATACCACCATTTCAAGCGAGCATTTGAGATTCTGTTTTCAAATTGACAGTAAAGTTGATGATTGCAACATTCATTTTGTGCTCTGGGCTCACATTCTTTCCTGCGGTAATCTCTCAGGAGCCAGAATATCAGATGTTTTTCATCTTCGTATTCAAAAAGAATGTAGTTCATGCCTTCCAAACAGGAGGGCATTGTGAACACTATTGAGAATTTCTTTTCTAATGATAGATTGAGGTTATTTAATTTTGTCTAAATTGTGAATGAACGGCTAGCGACTTTTTTCCAGTCCCAGCCAAGGCCCGTGCTGCAACAGCCAATGCAAGTTCATCCCGTATAAACAAGAAGAAGAGTGCAAAATGGAGTCGGACTGTTCCAGGTCCTCCAAGTGCAACGGTTTCAGTGCAGAGTGTCCTGCCCCCATTCCGAAACCGGACAAAACGAGGTATAAAAACATGTTTATCTTATTATGTTTTCAACTTCAGTTAGTCACAAGACAGTATTGGAAAATACCAATTGAATCGAGGAGACGTATTTTGAGCTCACCACGTGGTGTCTCAAAGTCAAGGTGGTCGGACTCTAGCAGAAAGATGAATGAGATATTCGAGAAAAATCAATGGACATGACTGCTTTAAGCACAGTTTCTCGATTTTTTGGGGTGAATTATAAAATATAAGATTTTATATATTAAAGGATTCTTTAAATTGAATTTCAGAATGGAATCTACAAATACATGGTTCAATTCAACATTTTATGTGAACTTGATATATTTTCAGTCATTTATCATCACTGATTTCTGATGCAGAAGTTTTTTTTTCTGACAGGAAGCTCTGGTGATAATCTCGAATTCCTTTATAAAACAACGAAATGAATTTCTAACATCTAACATATTGGTCCTTCGAGCCGGATCCACCCAAATCAAACCTTCAAGGAAATGAATTTCTAGGTGCAACAACGGCACTCAGTTGTGCATTGACGGAGACTGCTCGGGCTCGATATGCCTCGAATGGAACCTGGCGGCGTGCTCCATAACGACGCAGGACCATCCAAACATCGACAAGCGCAAGCTGTGCGAGCTGGCGTGCCAGAACGGCACGGACGTGTGTCGCAGCACGAGCGAGTTTGCGGAAACGGTCGGGTTGCCTGCCGGGGGGATAAGTTTGCGGCCGGGGTCGCCTTGTGATAACTTCCAGGTGAGGCGTTTTCCCTTTTTCAGGTATTTTTCAATCATCAATCATCAAAATGTATGGACTAAATATGGTTCCATCGTCTGGACCGTGTTTCTGATTCTTCAGGTGAACGAAATAGTTTGAATACCAGAGTATTTCCGACAAAGTTCTTTTTTGATTCCTGTAATTGAAGCAATAAAGTCAGAGCAACCAGTATTCCAGGCTAAAGCCAGGGTTTGTAATTGAAGCCTAAATCCTTTTGGCCCCATGAGTCCAGGTTCTCTTACAAATGGTGCTGATCCAGGGCTGTTCAATAATATTGACCCCTGGTTCACTGTAGGTACCTCCTGTGTCTTTTTTCACTGTGATACTCCTCACAAACTCGATAAATTAACTATCATGTGTTGTAACATAAAAATAAGTAATTTTGTAACGTCTCAGTGAGGTTATTCGATTGTTTCAATATTTTGAATACGCTTTTCATCCACAAAATCAACCCATCAAACAGGACTGCCACTGAAACGAATTCCAATAATATAGACTATAGAGTATTATAATCATTGAATTCAACGCCACCAAAACTCAAGCCTGCATTTTCTCTAGAAAGGCGGAACTCAGTATGCCCGATATTGTAATGTCTGGCTCCACCATCCCCACCAAGCCCACCATATCTATGCTTGGTATTTCCATCAGCAACACTCTTTCATGGGATAATCATGTCAGATCCATCGCAAAAGCTGCTTCACAAAAACTCGGATTCTTGTTCCGTGCGAAAAGCTACTTTACACTGCAACAGCTTTTCATGATCTACAAAGCGCAGATACGGCCTGTTCTAGAATACTGTTCCCACATATGGGGTTCAGCACCAAAACATACGCTGATGCTCATAGATTCCATCCAGAGAAGAGCCATTCGCCTGGTGGGTGACGCCACACTCACTCACTCTTTGACATCATTGGAACACCGTAGGAAGGTCGGCGACCTTTCACTTTTCTATCGATACTTCCACGGGAAATGTTATTCGGAAATCTCTGCTATCATCCCTTCACTAGCAATACCAATCAGACGAACTAGACAAGCCCAGTCAGCACATCCTTTCGTTGTCAACCTCGAAAGATGTCGAACAGCACTTTATCAAGACTCCTTCATCCATAGAACGGCTAGGCTCTGGAATTCATTGCCTGTGGAAGTATTCCCAACAACATATAATCTCCAAGAGTTCAAAAAAATTCCAATACCTACCTCCTGTCCCTATCCTCCCTAGGAACGCACGATGTTCTTTGAACATTATAGGGATTCCCTTTCGTGCGCTTCAAGCGATAAAAAAAAAAAGAAAATCAATCTTTTTCCAAGGGCTACTGCGACGTGTTTCTCAAATGCCGCGCCGTCGACGCCGACGGCCCTCTCGTCCGTCTCGTCAACCTCCTCCTCGACAAAGAGGTCCTCACCAGCGTCGCCCAATGGATCACCGAGCACTGGTGGGCCGTGCTGCTCATGGGCATCGCCTTCGTCATCTTCATGGGGCTGTTCATCAAGTGTTGCGCCGTTCACACGCCCTCCTCAAACCCGAAGATGAGGAAGGCGCAACGGATCGGCGACACGTTGAGGAGGCCGATGAACACGCTCAGGAGGATGGTAAGACGATGTAACATCCACTTTTACCAAGTATTCAACTGACCTTTTCAGAGTAATTTATCGCGTTCGGTATTTACATCAGACTGCTCCGATGAATCTGAATCGTTCGTTCATGACATCTAGATGTAGGGGAAGTAGATCTCATCCGTTGGGCAATAGAGCAATGTCTGCTGACGTCACAACATGGCGCACTCGTCGTTTTCATCAGCTGATCGGGGGACAAACAAAGCTGTGTGTGAATTTTGATTTTATTATTTCTGACCCATTGGTGATTTTGTTGAACTTGTAGATATTATACAAGAAGAATGTGTACATTTTCTTTCAAAATGAGTATCTATTGAGGTATATTACGAGGTATATTAGGTATATTAGAGCTGAACTCAAGTAAATCCAGTTTGACAAATAAACCAATTTGAACTCTTCTTTGGACTCATTCACTTCTCTCACAGGATTCATGATGAATGAATTTACAAACATGTCAATGAATAAATGCTCCAGGTATTGTATTTTAGTGGTAAATGTGCAAGAAAGTTACATGTACCCTTATGGAAAATGTGTATGCTTGTCCCCCCATAAGGTGTTCAATGGCCGTTATATGACGTCACTGACAATGCTCTATTAAAATCGGATCTTAATGCTCGGAGAATTTTGACCGAGCAAAGCGATTGATCTGAATTTGTGAGGTTAATGTTCAAATGTTTATGTATGACTGGCCGTTATGCTCGTATCCGTATTTTCAAAATAACGTTTTCATAATGAAAGAAATACCACTTTTTGATTCTGAGCAAGACAAAACACACACCTTTATGATGTCATATGAGAATTATGAAGAAAATTGAATTGTAGGTCAGTAAAATGAGGCACTGTTTCTTCGGCAAAATGTTCAACTTTTTCCAAAGCACATCGTTCTGCTTCATCATCCTCATCAAAAATAATTTGATGTCCCGAAACAGAAGCTAGCACAGTTTCTGGTATACTCATATTGAGATGAAAATGAATGAAATAAATCAATGGGGTTAGGTTAGGTTACCGTCACACTGTCAACAAAATGTCCACTTCGTTCGTTTATTGCCGATTGCTCCGATTTATCTGTGACCACGTTCTATACAATTTTACCCAAGCCAATAATAAAGATTTACTTGAACAATTTCCTGAACTTCAATTTGATTTTGCAGAGGTATCCCCACGGAGGGGGCCCACATCACGCCGGTGGTTCCCACGCTGCTCCTGGTAGGAGTAGAAGGGACCCTTCGGGCAGACCTTCCGCTAGTCAGGGCGGCCCTAGACCCGGTTACGGAGAGGGTAGGGGACATTATCACGCCCCCAAAGGTAACTAACTAACTTATTGCCTTTTCGGATGGTTTCGGAAAGTAGGAATAAAAACTGCTCCATAAGTCCAATTGAAGACCTCGGTTCAAGAACCGGGCAACTCAATTTTTTTAAAATGTCGGGGAATGGGAAAAAACTCATTTTTGAGAAACTTGAAAAAAATTATGCTAAATGGTATGAATCCTTTAGAGTTACATTAGATGAGCTGTATTAACTTAGATATTAGTTTTCATTCACATTGTAGAAGCTAAAAACGAAGTTTGAGAGTTGCCTGTTTCTTGCCTCAAAAAGACAAAAATCTGAAAGTATAGTCGAACTCCTGTAATAATTTCGCTTTTTTATATTGTAAACAAATAGTATTCTGAACATAGGAAGAATCACTGACGTTCAGAATTTTGGTCCACTTCATCAACAGTTATGTTCTTGGAACATATTCACTCCCCGAATCTTGAAAGGGCTCACTTTCACTTTCCGACGACATTACATTGTATTGCATGAAACAAATGATCAAACTAATCACGCCACACACGATGGAAGACGCGGAAAGGCTTGCCGATAGGGGGAGTGTATAATCTCTGCCGCTAATAACCTCACTCCGACATCTCCCACTACACGCGTACATTTCGGTGCTAAAATCGGGTAAGTCCTGGAGTTGCCCGACTCTTGCACCTCAATGGCTCATCAGGGAAATCCTTTCCCGTGTTAACTTGATAGGAAATTGTTGGATTCGCTTGATTCTTGCACCACAAGATTCACAAGAAAAAAATCTATATGTAAAATGCAATAACCCAATTTCGGCTTAAAATGGAGCTACCCGGTTCTTGCACCGAGGTCTTCAATTGTTGATAACGGGTCTTCAACAATGATTGAGTGCCCTGGAGGTGAGAAATTGAAACACAACCTGGCTTTTCTTAGTTGTTTACAAGTGATTAAAATAGTTTTTCACAAATATTTTGGCATACGAATCGTGTTTTTCGGCTATTCCTAAATTCGCTAATGCCACATTTTGCTGTTGTACAATGCACAAAAACTGCAGCGGGAGACGAAGGAATCTGGTTAGTACATTATGATTTAAAAGTAAGTACCTATTATAGTCACTCACATATAGTTTTCATTTTGAAATTTGGTAATTTCTCTGATTTCTCATCGGAGTTCTTTGTGCAATAGGAGGTAATAGAAATATTCGTGAAATTTCTAAAATAATGCAAGAAGATTGGATTTATGCAATCAAACGGGAGGACTGGTCTGACATGCTGACGAAATATGATCATGTGTGTTGTAGACATTTTCAATCTATCAGCAGTATTAGCTTTTATTGCAGAAGTGGTAGAAGGAATTTTAATAAGAAATGACAAAATTTCATAATGAAAACTATGTGAGGTTACTATTTACCTGAAAAATCATATTCCTTCGTCTCTCGCTGCATTTCTTGTGCATTGTACAACAGCACAATGATTCGTATGCCAAAATATTGTGAATAACCATTTCAATCCTTTGATTCCTCTGTAAACAAATGAAAAAAGTGTGGTTGTGTTATCAGAATATTTTCCATAACCCAATCGGTCCCAGAAGATTGCCAATAATTTCATTGAGTTTAAAAAAACCATCCGAAAATAACTCACGATATTGAGAAAACGAAGATAGAAACTCAGTTTTTTCCATTTGGCTACTTGTGAAGAAACTATTTGTCTTTCATTTTTGCCATGCAGCCATAATATGATCATCCATTTGGATACATGGAACTGAAATTGTTGTAATAATTCGTATCGTCCTAAATAATTGATGTATCGTCCTAATACATCTGTTCATAAGTCTGCATTAGTGTATTTTCAGTATCATTTCGCTTATCAAATTGTGATACATAGTTGAATAGAGAATATTAAGGCGAATATGAAAGGCTACAGAAATATACAGGATGCCATTTGAAAAAAAAAAGTTGGGTCTACTTCCGATCAAACAGGTGGTTGATGAGAATTGTCATTGAGTTGGTGATTTTCTTGCTTCAGAAAGAAGGATATTCCAAGATAGTTCAGCAACTTGTAGGTAGATGGGGTCAAGAACTAGGGCCAAAGGACCCCGCACTTTTTCTATACAAAAATCGCGTTCTGTCGAATTTTCTGAATTTCTGATATATCATAGTACTCGACCCAATGATCAAATACGCCGAGCCCCAATCCGATCCTATGACCAGTTTTCGAGATACAGGGTGTTGAAGTTGAGAAATGCCCCCTTTTCATCTGCCCATATTTCCAAGAAACGACAAATGAATTGGATTTTATGCTGGCAGTTTTTTAGTTTAACCTTTGGGTAGAACAACCATCTATAAAATCAACCAACCATCACAGGGTGATTCACATCTGAATTATTGTGTTATTTTCAATTTCTAAATATCGATACCACAACTTGATGAAAATTACAAAATGTAAATTATCCACATCATCGCCGGAACACTAACTTTCCATTAACCCGACATGTGTCCTCTTCTTCTTCTTCTTTTTTTTTTCTCTAATGCACCAGACTATTCCCCACTAGCGACGGCGCCGCCCGCAGCCGCCCACCACCACCCCCGCAACGCGCACCCCGAAGCGTACGCAGGCGCCTACGAGATGAGAAACAAAGTCTGACAGGCGGCCCCTGCGTCAGGAGGGGGAGGGGAGCCGCCCTCCGTGGAGGGGCGGCCGCGAGACTCTCCGCCCTCTGTGGAGGGACGGTCGCAAGAGTCTCCGCCGCCCGACTACCCGGGATCGCCGCAAGGGGAGGAGGGGGCGGCGAGTGAGGGTGGGCAGTAGGTTGGGGCGGGTTGTGCGAGTTCGGTCAAGGAATCCATGTTTCGAGACGGTGTTTCTAGACGAGCGTATGCCGACACAACCATCTTGGCACATCCAAAGTCAAATATGATTTGTCATATGTCACTTATGTGAGGGTTGCTGTGCTGTCTCCACGTGTTTATATACCAAAGAAGGGAAGTTTTGTATTTCGTGCAAGATAATTTATTCGAATTTATATTCGTAGCAGAGCGCTTTCGACTGTAAGTCATCATCAGTGCATACCTGAAAGTAAGTAATCTGCTTTTAGCTATTGGAAAGAATTCGAATTTTCAATTTCAATTTCTTTCCAATAGCTAAAAGCAGATTACACAACAAACCATTATTTATCAAGATATTTCACTATAAAGTGACAAATTTCACCTTCTTTTCCGCCTGTCTCCTGGATTGAATTTAAAACAATTTACCCTTCTTTTTTCATCATTGGACAATTTATATATATCACAATGTAAGACACATTTTTTTTCTATTATTGAGGCAACCATAAATATGATTTTCTTGTGATTTATCCATATTTAGTGAAAAGAAGGAAGAATATCATTTAAAATAATGGCGTGTGTAATGTCATTCAAAAGCACTCTGTTGACATTTGACATCTCGTATTTGGATCGACTATTGATTAAATGGCCGTCATCTGGTATGCTTGTTCACTGAATATGAAAAACTCGCCATAAAAATCATATTTCCTGTTGAATTTTCTGTATAAAAATGTGTCATTGAAGTACATCATGAGTATATAAAGTGTCCAATGACAAAATAAAAAGAGCAAGTACCTGTAAATGCATCCAACACAAGGGAAAGCAGGAGTCGAAATTTCGAACTTTTTTTTGAAATATCTCGATAAATAGTGGTTTGTTCACATTATCATTGTCAAATTCGTGTTTTTCAGACAAAAATACGTAAGTACCAAAAAAATCTTCGAAAAAAACCCATCGCATGCTAAATGCAGTTTTACCCAATATTTGACCTTGAATGTGCCAAGATGGTTGTGTCGGGATACGCTCGTGTACTATGAGTGGGTTTTGTGATGGTGGGGAGTTTTTCGTTTTTGTTAAAGATAATCTTTCTGCGAAAAATCGATGTCATGGAAATATTGAAGGATAGATTTCTTGCAAATCCATGTGGAAAACATGTTCTTCTTGACAAGCTTAATGACATAACTTGTATAACACGATGCTGCCATTTTTTTAAGTGAGAAAAGTGTTCAATAACAATTGGTTTGTTAAATGGCATGACTATATTTTATTTTATTTCATTTTAACATGAAACATAAATATGATCAGAATGGATCTGTTAGTTTCTAGTAATAAAAATATTATTTCAGTGTATGTGAAGTGAAGACAATTTGTCAGAAAAAGTCATTGTTTACAAAGTTTCATTATTAGTGACACCTTTTTTTGAAACAATATTGATGTAGCCACATATGATTCACACTGAATCTCCTTTGGTGTGAATAAATAACACTTTGGTCTCTAAATCATGATTTATGAATGTTGATAGCCAGAAAATTTCCGTTATTTCCAGATGTACTTTGACACATTTTGACAGTTTGAATAAGATTGTAACTCCATTTGTGATTTTGGAACATTTGAACCATTTAGAAAATTCTCGTAAAATAATAAATTGAAAGCATTAGTGATGATTGAAAAATAAAAAAACAGTTCACTGCCCCATTACTGTCAAATTGAGTATCGTTTGCCAATGTCATTTATGATTAGTTTGAGCAACAAAGGGCCCAAGAAGTTGTCATTGTTCTCATTTTCAAAAATTAACAATCAAACAGTTTTTTGGTGCTGATTTTATTAACATTTCACATTTGAGATTTTTGCTATATTCCTCTTCTCCCATTTTTTTCAAAGGGGTTACTGATTATCAGTTGAATTTCTCTTTTAGGTTTTCAATGTGAAATTTTTTGAATGATGTGACATTTTGAGACAGATCTGATTACTACACTTATATCAAAATAATGTTCATGTTTCTATTTATAGAAACAAGTAGAGAAAATCTGAAGGATACTAGAGAAATGGATGGAAAAATTTTCTGTTTGCATATCAGAGACATACAAAGCGTTTCATTTGTGGCTTCTTTGACAATTGAGAAATATGATAATATTATTTACAATAATTCTTCTCATATTTTTTTACGGAATTTGGATTCTTTGACTGAAATTGGAGACCTGTCCTCCTGCCAGTCTGTCGTTTTTTACTCGAAATAAAGGTTGGCCAACGTGCTCTGTGATTGTGAACACGGAAACTCTGGATAGTGCGTGTGATCTGACTACTACAAATATGAATGAAAACGGGTGCATTTTTAATAATAGTCACCTTTAATTTTAAGGTTGATTCATTTTAATGTGTTTGAGATTTGAAATATGAAACGTTTTTATGAGAATTATTGTAATGAACATTAGTTGGCTTCCTTCTTCTTAAAGGCTGATTTTTCTCTAAGTTTTTAACTTTCTTACAAGTGCTATGGGCGAATTTGACATTATTCGTGAATCAATAAATGGAAATATTCACTTTTGCAGCACATTGCATATTGAATCAGATGATCACTTGAGTTTTGTGCTATTCTCGAATTTTATAGTTTTCCGAAATTTCCACACCATAACTGAGTAAGCATTAGTCACATCAGTGATGAATTCACCCATGTACTTGATCGTTTTGATAAACAATTTGTTCACCTTGTTGAATTTGAATTTTTATTATCCTATTCAAAGCATTAGTCACATCAGTGATGAATTCACCCATGTACTTGATCGTTTTGATAAACAATTTGTTCACCTTGTTGAATTTGAATTTTTATTATCCTATTCAAAACTGGTTAAGTTGGGTTGAATTTGTATTTAGGAGCTAAACCAAAAAACGATCTGAAATTTATTACACAATTCATCTGCAGGGTATATACTTTGGTACTTCAAAATGTCTGCACGTTGATTATTTTACATGGGTATTCCGAAGAAAAGTCAATGGATACAGGAGAATTTTCTTCAATTTGAATATTTGAAAGTAAGAATTGATGGTGTGGAATCTTGATGAAAAAAAAAACGTCTTTTTGAATTTTGTTGTAATGTAGTATATCCCCTGCTGAATCTGAGATTAACCTCTGAATGAATTTACAGGTAGGGGCCAAACATTAAATACTTTTCTATGGATTTTGTAATTGGGAAAATCAGCTAGCTTTGAGAAGAAAAATATATTTGATGATCATTCTAACCTCCTTGCATTGTGATCTCATCATTTATTGTTCAACCAACATGAAATTTTCATTATTTTATGTTGCACCTCTGAGGACAGACAGAATAAGGGAAAGGCGTATTTTTCTCTCTCAAAGCTACCTGAACTTTTTCATTGAATTGAAAAATATCCATTGTTTTTATCTGGATTATATTTGGAATGAATGAAGGTTTATTTTACCTTTTTTATACATGTAATTCAATCTCGGATTAATTTAACGAAAATACTCCTTTATCGAAGAACCTATAGTTTCAATGTACATATTGCTATTATGACAGTCTGTATATTTGCGTTTACTCATTTGCAAATTTCTGTCATGGCATGTTTTTTTTTTCAAATTTAATTCAGTTTGGACAGGCTGGAATGTATTGTGAAGTGTAAAAACATACAATGCAATTTTTATATTCAATACACCCCTATTACATCATAGTCACAAAGAGAATATTGTAACATAAAACAAATTTCTGCAACCAGATGTTTGAATATCTCTTGATTTGTGACTGAAAAATTGCTATTTTTGTATTACCTAAATTTAGAGATTGTCTTTGTACCATTGTTGAATTTTCTGGAAATTGTGATAACGAAATTGATTTTGATTGTTTTCATTATGATTGTCTCTTAAGGATAGGTCAAATAATCTATATTTGATGCTAACTCTGTATTGAAAAATAATGTAAAAAAATAATATATGTAAATAAGGGAATAAAATAGTTGTTTTCATATGAAAACATTGTGTTTCATTCTAATTTCATTTTTATTACAGTACTTAACTTTCCAAATGAGGAAAAAATTATCAAGGGTTAAAAATACAAATTTTATATTTACAAAAATTCTATATTGACACAACAGCAAGTATCAAAACTTCAAAATGAAGATTATCCAAACATTGGACACCATTAAATAAATATAATATGGAATAATATTGAGATACAAGATAAATAATTAAATATTAACAAATATAAAGCTTACTCATGAATCTAAAATGTATGGAATAATAATATTGATTCAGCTGGTTAGTGTCAATGATAAATTGAACAGGCTATGAATTGACATAAAATCAACATAAATCATTAATAGAAAACATATTTTTACTTATTCCTTAATCAGTCAGCAAATCAAAATTTATATTTGGCATTCAATTCTTTTTTTTTTTCATTCCAAAAGATTCAGGAACATCGACCATGAGTGAAAAAATTGAATTATAAATTGTACCCGAATCATACCTAAATTTAATTCTTGTGAAATGTTGATGAAATCAGGAATATATTTGGATATCTACCTACCATCAACAAAATGAAAACTTCTAGTGCAGTGATTCTGAGTTAGTAGGTAAATGATATACAAGGTACAACTGGTTACATGGGCAGCATTGGAATATCTCCCAAGAAATTATACACTCAAAAAAACCATTCTTCCGAGCCCTATTGACAAAAACCTTACATATTCTGCTCTAGCTTGTAAACATCATGATAAGCATTCCTGATCAGAGCATACGGAAAACAAGACTCTAACAAATCCATAGTAAGAAAAGGAGACTCCTGCACAATCTGATCCAACAACAAATACACCGACTCCCTATTCCTTATCACTTCCTTGTCCGCCTCCTGACCTAACCTCAACAAACTCGAAGACGCCAGCGCCAAAAACTCCTTCATTCTATCTTCAATATCGCCTTGCCCGCAAATCGTGAACAAAGCCCCGAAAATATTATTCACAGCCAAGGCCATACAGTGAATGTTATTTGTGTGCCCTTCCAGAGACGCCCTGTAGAATGACTGTTCGGATTTTGCTAGTCTCGGTATGGAAACTGCAACGAAAACCATAAGCAGGCACACCAACAGGTGTTCATTTTCCCCCTCGACTTCCTGCTTTTGAAGCTTTAGTGCAGAAATAAGCGTCGGATCTACCTTGCAAGGTAGACCGGCTGCTGACGTCATCTCGCTGACGATCTTCAAAGGATCGCCGCTCGGCAAATGGTGTCTGAAATCCAAGATGGAGCTCACCAGAAACGGGATTCTTTGTTCCAGAACGTCCGTGAGGCAAGACTGCGACAGGTGCCGGAAGCTCAATATAACCCCAACAATGGTCATTCTTTGCAAAACATTATCAACATTGCTGAGTTTTTTGAATTGTTCCTTCATGATCTCTGGCTTATCGAAATTTGTACGAAGGGACAACAGAACATCCTTGTTCATTTCCGCTAGTTTTTTGAGTTCAACGACTTGACTAGCTATGTGCCACATCAGAGTTTCACTCAGCTGCTTCATGCCATAAGGCCCTATCAGCTCAGCTAGAGCTCTCAGCTCATTGACGTCAGAGTACTCTTCAGGGTTGAAGGGAATGGACCCTTCAACTGTCAAACTGACAAAGGAGCGCTGGTTCATGGAAAAGATGATATTTCCGGCGCTAACCCTTCGAAGGAGTACCTCAGAGTACCACTGGGTGTAGATGGCGGCTACGGTTTTCTCCCCATGGGAGTCCATGGGCTGGGTTTGCTGCAAGAGGCAGTTGTTGAAAACTCTGGTGATGTCAATGTGCACATAGTTTTCAACAGTTTGTAGGACGTTCATATAGGATCTGACGCAGACTAGTAGCTCAGAGGGTTTGGCGATTTCATTGGTGTCAGAATTGAACATTACCATGCCCACTAGGGCCTTGGCAAACCGGTTTTCTAGGTGCTGGTGAAGGTATTCTCGCGGAGCAAAAGTGTACTCCCAAACGTTGATGTTGGAGAAGTAGTTGATGGCGTAGCACAGTTCTGTGAGGGCCATGTGGAGTTTGTCCATGGTGGTGAGGTTTTCCCTGGTCTTGCGGTAGCTTTCCTTACCGGGTTTCTCGAACTCCACGGCGTTTTTCTTGTTCTTTTCCTTTTTCTTTCTGTTGATTTGCTGGGATATCAAGTGGGCGCAATTTTTGGGAAGCAGCTTGTCGCTCATTTTGCACTGAGCATCACAAATCGCTGTTATTATGTTCTTGGCCTCCTTTGCCATTTCATCTAGGAACATGTTGACTACAGAGAGACTGCGTTCTCTGATGTGGTGTCTTTCCTCAGGGCAAAGCTCATGGGTGCAATGTTGGAAATGGCTGCAAATCGATGGGAAAGCTACAATGAACCGGTTTTGCGCAGGGAACTCTAGACACATGTGAAATTGGTCCTCAAAAATCCGGTTGTAAAAACAAAAAATGGACAAGTCTGAGGTTTCCCTCAGCATCTCATCCAAATTGTCCACCATTTTGGTGTGAAATTGCACAGTATCCAAAAGCTGAGCCAAACTCCTGTTATCCATGAGTTTCATGGTAGATTTGGCAGTGGAGGTGTAAGCCTGAAATCTGAACCAATCTAACCTAAATGCAAAAAAATTAAAAGTCTCATTTTCCTCTACTTGTTTCACTGATAAATTGGCTACTGTGTTACACAAAGAAGACAAAATCATTCCCTCATCTTCAGGACAAACCTGTAGCTTCTGCATCAGCTCCTTGAGAGTTATGGCATCCCAGTGGGACAAATATTGCACATAGTACCTCTGCATCACCTGACTATACTTTCTTACCAACACCCTTAAATCTTCCATGTGGAACAACAGCTCAGGCAAGTGCCTGTCCACAAGATCTTCAGTGGATTTGCCCTTGGTCTTGTGAGTAGGAGGATTGTCATTATGGCGCAACAACCAGAGGACTTCATCTCTGGAATAGCACAGTCCCATGAAGATCATCAGGGCTTTGGGGCCCAGCAACCCAGGCTGGTCCATGAAGATCAGGCCTAGTTCTTTGAGGGCAGTTCTCAGGAATTTTCGGCGTTCCCGGTGGTTGTACCCGGCTTTTTGTATGGCATGGTTATGGGCATCCTTCACTTCAGAAATTCTTTTGCCATAACCTTTGAGGGTGTCAAAAAATGAAGTGATGTATTGGTGGATGTAAACTACTTCATCACGGAACAATGGTATCACCCAGGAAGACTCCAGGGCATTTATGAAGAGCTTATTGAATTGGTCTTGTTGGAGGAGAACATTGTGTATCAATAATAAGCCAAAAACTACCCATTTTTCCATTGTGTCTAGGGACAGAAACTCACATGACATTCTATCACTCAGCACTGGTTTTAAAAGTGCTGATGGATTCCCTACTAGTGTTAGTTTTTGTTCAGATCGCCACTTATCTGCAGACACATTTCTTGGGATATAAATGGGTACCAAAGACCCAATAGCTTGTGCTAGGAGCCTATAATGGGGCACAAACTCCTCACAAAGCTTCTTGAATGGTATGTCATAGTCCATAATCATGCTGCCAAGTCTTGGGAAGCTTTGATCTGGTGAATTGTGAACTATTTCATAAGCTGCATTGAAAAGTCCTAGAACTGCTTTACGGTCTTCCACTCTTGACAGCAGTACCATGAGAGACACATAGGTAGTAACTAGGTCTAAATAGCTCTTGGTAAGCTCAAAGTTTACTGTAATATCAAGATCTACTTGGAAGGCATCCATGCTAGTTAACAGTTCACAAACATGGTCCTTGAAATCCAGCAAGTCTACAAAAGTGTAGTAATAAAGAGACAAAGACTTGATGATTTCATTTTTCAGATTCTGTATAGGCGTGAGGCTCTTTACATCGATATTGGGGAATCTCCTGACAATGTTTTTTATAGAGGATTCCAGGTTTTTGTCAGACAAAAAGCCTGGTTTGGACTTGGCATCTCCACAAGCTTTTTTGATGTTGTATATCCTTGTGAGCATGCCTACACCTCGGTCATTGAGGATTATTAGCTTTTCAGAGAGTTTACGTTCGTTCTGACTCATTTGACGGGACATGATGGGAGTGTTGAATGTTCACTTCCTGAAAATTTGTATTCTTCATATGAATTGCACTTGACATGTTTTGCTAGAATTTACCTGTGAATTAGTATGATGGAACTATAATGGAATTTCAATATCTATATTTTCCAAATCATGCACATTTCGGAATCATACATAAAAATTTGGAAATCCAGGATTCCTATTCATATTTTCAAGTTTTTATTATGACATAAACAAACAAACTTTGACATTCCAGTTTCCAGACATTCCAGTCATTCCTCTGCCACTCCCACTTCCCTCAGGGAAACGTCAGACGTCAGAGTTGTCACTGTTGTCAGACCACAGGGTGACGTCCAGGTGACGTCAGACCTTAGAATTTTATGTTTGACGTTCGAGTTCTTCTTCTTCTTCTTATTTTATGTTCCTCGGTTTTCTGTCTCCTTTGCCAATTGTCGATTGACCAATGACGTTGGTTACGTTTATAAGTTCTGTGGGTTTTTCGGAGAATGATGAGAACTGAGAAAAATAATGGGAAATGCTTTCTCAAAATTTTGTTTGAGCGCACGAAAAGAAGTTCTCTCTCTGAAAAAAAAAGTTGAATTGTTCTATCCGTCATTCGAAAGCCCCGTTACGAGCAACCCACAGAGTTGTTCTTCCAGATACTGTGCGAGCAAGGATGAAAGATGAAGGGGGCCTTACCTCTTTAAACAATCTCTTTGCTGTTCTTTTGAGAGTATAGATAGGAACGAGAGAGTTGTTCGACATATCTCGAGGTCTCTGCCATTAACTGAAGAGGCGAAAGATGCCTTTTGAAAGAGAAAATTACACAAAATTTCTGGGCTCAATTAAAATCATTTCTCTTTAATTAATATCGAAGTAGCGATTCGTAAAACTTTAATAAGTACTGAAACATCGATATATGCTGATGCCTCTGGATCGCACAATAAATTGAGATCGAGTTATTCACAAATAACAAGTATATATTGAAATAGCATAAAACGCGGTGTACTTATACATTTGATTTCCCCTCACGCAATATACCTCTATATATCGCAGCCAGCTGGCAACCTGGATTGAATTCCAGTTTAATTTCATCATTGAAAATTTAATTACTCACATAATTGCGAATCAATTTGAAGCTTCGTCAGTTTATTTATTTGTTTTCCGTTCAGCGAATTTGACAATAATTACGAAACAACATGAAACAAAAACCTCATCTGCTTATTTATCAATTCTGTTTTGTTATTTTAGCATCCTTGATTTTAGCCCTCAGGCGTGTTGCAAACAGCAATAACAGCAACGCTTTATATTTATCTTATATATTGGTTATTGTTCAAGTTTACCGAATATTGGTATTTATAATAAGTACATAGATATATGGTTTTGCGCTAAGTATAGGTATTCAATATACAGGAGTATCAAAAAAAGGATGCGGCATTTGACAACTTGCGTCTGCGGAGCCTGCGTCATAAAATGAAATTCTTTGGTTGGGGACTTCGCGTCTTAAAATGTGAACTAACGTAGTGCGGGTGCAAAACTGGTGCAAAACCAGTGCACCACCAGGTTTACGAATGGAATTCGCTATTAGATCAATCAGATTCCTGTATGATCTATGAGTTCATTGGCTTCGCGTAATCCCGTGTCAGTCATATCAATGTTGCCAGATTGTGCTGATTATCTTTCACTTGAGGAAGAAAGCACTTCAATGATCTTGAAATGATAGGATAACCCAAAAAGAAGAAATGATTTTGTCGAAACTTTTGTCTCAACAGTAAATGCCTCCACAGTAATTTTCTCAGGAAGGAAGGAAAATATTCCTCCTGCATAAAAACGGACACTCCTTTTTTTTAAGCATCTAAACTTACTCGGCATGAATGAATCTTCTTCATAAAAAGACAGTAGTATTTCTCTGGGTGGAAGGCAAATATCCCTCCTGCATAAAAGAGGACCCTATTTTTTTCAAACCATCTAATCTTTATCGGCCTAAATGAACATTCTTCCTAAAAATTATATTTTTCAGAAAATCATTTGAGAAAACAGAATTGAAAAAAAGCCGACCGTCACAGGCATTGAACCCGGGTCACCGACGTGGGATCCAAACGCACAGTCAACTACGCCACGAGTCGTAGTAACTGTGGTAGTATAATTGTTCTATAATTGAATTTATGGCAAGTATACTCCCCAGACGCTTCCCATTTGACAACATCGCAGTTAGGAAGAGCGACGCACATCGTATGACAGTTGGGCGCATAATGAATGTCAATTTTGAATATTTTGATTCTTAATCTGTTAGCGGAGACATCTAACATCTCCATCAAGGGACCCTACTAACATCTAACTTATACCACAGAATACCTGTGCTAATACCATCCAGTTGACTCTAGAGGAAACTAGCGAAGACGTGTGATAGCCGGATTCATGTTGCCATTCACATATGCCCTATATGTGTAGTGTGTACCTAATTATAACGATCTTGTATATTTGGAGCTAAAGAGAAAGTTTGTTATCCTTCGAGGAAATATACATATATTTATATACGACCTATTCACAATGGTATGGAAGAAGCATTTAGCGCCATGCTCTCCATTTCCAATTAATATTTTGGCAGTAAATCAAAATTGCTGGTAATCGGGTTCGATCGCGCGAAACCGTAGTAGGAATACTACTTTATTCTCGGAATATGATTGGGAAAAAGAGCGAGGAAAGGCTTTAGGCAGCGACGTTCATTAGGCATTAATTTAATTTTAATCTGGAAATGTTCAAATTGAAAATTATCGAGGTAGAATAGAGAAGTCCACCGTAACCCTAATGTTTCCGGACTAGGCATTCGGCAATTCCAACGCTGATGAAATTTTCAATTGATAACCTCAATAAGTATATTTCCTGACCCAATATAGTAGATGATGAAATGGGTATTAGGTGAATATATATAATATAGATTTTCTGAAAACATTTTTCTCAGTAATTTATTGAGTAGATACGGCTTTATTCAGATGTGTTATAAAAAGTCACGTTGGATCCGACACAGAATCCGAATGAAACAATATATATTTTTTCTTCATCAACTTAGACAACAACATTAGAAAATAAAGTATCACAAAGTGAAATATACGTGAGCGGAAAAAGTTGTGCTATGTATTTATGTCCGTTGCACATTCATTGTAATTACGAGGGCCAGCAAAGCTTTTCTGGCGACTGTCCACACGTTCTTGCGAAATTGCTGTCTCTATTACGAAACACATGCGATAAATTAGGAGTTTCACTGTATCCCCGGAATATCTTACGGAGCTCAGAAAGTGTCCTTTTTCTGCATCATTATTCTGTGCTCGTACTCATAAAAAGGACGTAGTTCGTATGAATGCCAATGAATGCGATTGGACTACCCAGAAAATTACATTATCTTGTGGAAATTATTGTACGAGCCTGATTATCATATATATCAATGTAATATACTCGATAGGCAGTCAACCTATAGGTAATTAGAATACCCATAATAATGTTCCTGATGAATTCAGTACAGCAGATTTTCAACACCAATATGAATGAAAACGCTCTTCTTCATGACCGACAGGTTAGAGGTTTCTACAAATTGACCAGGAAACGATTTCAGGCGAGCAATTTACTCGAGACTTTCGGGTTCTGGAATATGGCATATAGCGGTCTAGATAGTAGTTACATCAGTAATATGTATTGTGAGTTGCGTATAACATCTCATTCAGATAAAAATGCCTGACATTGCAAAAATTATAAAATACTACAAAATACTCCATTACGCTTAGATGAAATATGATAAAAAACAAGTCAAAGTAATAAATTCGTTCTTCCATCATGTGCCATTGACAATCTCTTCTCTTTGTATATATAGCAGATTTCATCGTGATATGAAAATTTCGAATAAAACTTGGATTTAGATGATTTTTCTGCCAACCGGCAACTCTGCACTTTGTGCCTGCTAGGCATGAAGAGCAGCGCTACCCTTGGCGGTTTCAGAAAGTATTCTTCTCGTTTGCCATCAAGTTGTCTGTTTTCCGATGTCTTGAACATAATTTGGAATAGGAGACTCGTTACACCAGTCTCTAGGCATCTTAAGTACATCAAAACAAAAATCGCGACTCGTTAAATAAACTTATGGAACCAAATAGTTGGAAATATATGGAAATCCGGCAACGCTGTTTCTATATTATCTTGAGCTGTCATATCAAGTTTCACTCGTCACTTGTCAGTCAAAATCAAAGCCAACTACCGGTTTTACCGCGAATGCGTATCACTTGAATGAGGCGTCTGTTTGAATGCTTTTTTTCTATATTTTAAGCTGAAAAAGTATGCGTGGAAAGTGAATTCGATAGTTTGTGTCGTGTTTACAGAAGCTGCCATGGTGAATCAGTCATGTAAGTTCTATTTCTAAAAGTTAATGCATGTTTCGCGTAACAAAAATGAAATGACGAAATAGTTATTCATACCTTTTAAACTCCTACTAGAATTACTAGATATGGAGGAGTTTTTTCATGCAAGTTTCTGTAAGAACAATGAGAAAATGAAAGTGGCATTATAAAATTTAGGCTATACCTGATGGCTTACTCGTTCTCTGAGGTTCGTGTTCGTTCACGTTTTTCTGGAAGTAAATCCTCAGATTTAGGGAGGAGACTAAAGCTCGAGGCAGAGTACAAAAGCTCAGCTTTGTTTAATATGCACAGGAAGTACAGCACAGGTAGAGTTTTACGAAAAAAAAAGGGTATTAGAGGTATTAGATACACTGGGGTTTCAATTGGAGAAACAAAATGAGAACAAAAGTTCGCTCGTGATCTCGAAACATCTCGTGAATGTGAACTGGATTCGTAACATTGACAAAAATGCCAGTACCTATAGTGATTGTATAGATTAATGGTAATTGAGTATCTATAAGTTTGGATTCTATTTATTAACCATACATAGATTCCGATGGATATAGAAGTTTTGAATTTGATTAAGTATCAGAATATCATTGTCTTGGCGATTTTCTGAACAACTGTTTATGAACGATATTTTCAGATGTTTCCTTCGATATTTCGCAAACTCATAGTCCGATTTCAAAAATGAAAACACAGTCGTTCAGAGAATTGAAAAGTATTTTCAATGAGGTTCCAGACAACCTACAATATGCCATTTGAAATTTTTGATGGGGTGGCAGTGGAGTCAAAGGGGATGAAATAATCAAGGTGATTTTCACGTGAAAACATGTTTCCCTCATAGTTGTTGTTTATCTAGCTCGCCGATTTTGCGGGTGGGAA